ATCCTTTGTCTCCCCCCACTCCTATATATCCTCTCGGTTGTTGTCTGAGAAGATAAATAGACACGTCCCGATGACAAGATTTAAATTGAAGGTACGTCAGTTTCCATTCCCATCGGTTAGCTTTGCAGTAAAATTTTCCTGATAAAAATTTATTAAATTTTATGGTCCCCCTGGTTTTTATTACCTCTGGTGTAATTTTTAACCGTCGAATATGCATTCACTAAACCTCAAAAAAAATATAAGAACGTTCAAGTTTACACATTTTCAGCTACAATTGATATCACGAAATGTGATTTTATGGTGTAATTATTTCATGGTGATGTACGGATCTCCCGGACTAGTAAAAATTTCTTACAGAGGGACTACCCTGCCTGTTTGTTGTGGTTATCTAATTTTTGTCTAAACTGATACTTCGATGATGATCAATGATTATGGATCCTGATCGATGGTGATTGATGTTGATTATGATGAATGACAATAAAACATAGGTGACAAAAACAAATTTAACTTACCGCCCTTTTCAACCCTAATAAACAGAAATGGATGATGTCGACGTTCCTTATCCCTCTATTAGGTTATTCGTCTACTATTAATCTGGTCCCGGTTACTGATTTTTAAGAAATGAATTTGTTTACCCGAAACTTATTTGATTTTTGTAATAAATACACAATACAAGTGTTATATCACGAAGTTTGGTGTGAGTCACATCTAATCCTAGTGACATCCTTGTATATGTCTACAACAAATTCCTTTTAACATATGAAAACGGAAAGTGGTAATAAGAGTGGAACTATTTGTTTCTCAGGTTGGTCGCTATAGATCACCCTATAAGCTTGGTAAGTCCAAATGTAAATTTGGTAACATACACAAACAAGACAAAAAGAAATAATCATTACAATCGACACGGCATGACCAGACTCCAACAGGGGACTAGACACGGGACGGTCTTGAGGCGGGGGTGCTAACCCTCAGCCCGTCTTCGCCAACCCCACCCGGCCACCGACCCTGAACGCTAGAAGAAACGAAACCCCGCGCAAGGCCCAATGAACGTAGGTCGGTACCCGACGTCTAGGCGGCCGCTCGACAATATACTTGGACCCCCCCCTTGGTCTTGACTGTAAAAGTTCTAAAATTCTACATAATCCAAGGGAAATTCTTTTGGTACGGTACGTATAATCAGTGGTATTTTGTCGAAAAAAAAAATCACCTGATTTCATAAACTTTACTTCCTAGGTGTAAACCCCTGTCTCATTTTTTATTCAAACAAAGAATCTGTGTCTCCGGTGTTTGTCACCACCTCGAGAGTTATTGTCCAGTTATGTCATTAACATTTATTAATTGTCATTTATCTTGGCTGGGATAACCTGATAATAAGGATTTAGATGGCTTGTACTATGTCTTTAGTATCCGTATTTATCATCGTTGTTTTCGAAGTTGTAATTAAGGAAAGGTAGAAGAAGATTAGAGGAAGAAGAAAGAGGTAACTAAAGGTTATGACGGAAAAAGTGTCACCCTAATAAGTTTTCATCAACCGAATTTACGTCGTTCCCCCGAAACTGGTAGTCCTAAGACTTGACGTTTGGACTAATGAACCCTCCGGGTGAAGTCCAGCATGGACTAGGTGACGCAGTCCGGTCCCCCGGTCTGGCACACACTAGACGTTCCTCGCGAAATAACCCAGTCAAGTTTATTTTGGAGTTGAAAATTTTATTATTGTTGTCATAAAAAGACGCATGTAAGATAACCGTAAACTCTCTGTCTCCATAGTTAAAGAAAGAAGTGATCCGCTTATGTCGTAGAATGGTCCCAAACAACTGGAACGTACATATTCCACAATATAACAAAACAGGAAGCCGCTAGACGAGGAAAAGAAGAAAGACAAGCAATATAACCCACACATTTCTTCCGTCTTTGTCGATGTTCGATCAAATTTCCAAGCAAGAAGAAGGTCATACTTAAACAGACAAGCATCACGTTGAATGAATTATTCAAAGAGAGATACATGATGCTTCATAGTACTTTAACGGGAGATGGGAGCGACAGCATGTGCTGAGGTCATTTTGAGGAGGAATGATGAAGGATTTCGCTATCAAAAGTGTGTTGTCATAGAGAAAAATGTATAAGTAGTGAGAGACGAGGATATCCGACGCGTGGTCGAAACAATCGAGGAAGTCTCTTGTGCCTGGATGGACGTAGATAGTGATACCAAGTCTATCTTCGAAATGTGTTTGGTTTGTCCGTTGGATAGGAGGTTGTGTTGTGTGACGAGGTTGTGTCGGATGTGGCGACGCCGTGTGCGTGTGCCGTGTTGCCGTTGGCTGTGTGTGTGTGTGTATGTGCTTTGACTACACGAGTGGCTAGCCTCTACGACTGTTCCTCGGTCCCTCCGCTTAACTATCGTAATCCCCATGCACCGTCATACTAAACCCTGGTATCCTGGGGGGAGAATAATGAAGCGGTCTGGAGAAGCAATTATCTAGTATTAGCGCGTTACAGGTCTCACCGCACTCACTATTGTCGGCAGTCGTTTACTAGACTTTTACACAGAAATAAAAGTTCTTTTTCCCTATCTGTAAAAACTCCCACGCGTGTATACCAAACTGTTCAACACCCATTCTTCCCAATGACCTGTTATATGCTCACGCGCGCGTTCTCTATTTCCGAGTCTAAGCTACTCTAACTTAAGGTTTTCATCTGTTTTATTATTACTCTCAAGAGCGTTATCCCTCTTCCTATTCCCCTATGCCTTACCATTCTACGCGAATAATAAAATACGGTGACCATTTGTTTCCCTTCTGCCCCTCCGTCTGTATAGGTTAATAGGACGAGAAAAAAAGTTCAACCGTTCCGGAATCCTTTTGTGTGGTGGAGGAGTTCACAGTTCCGCGTTATCCTAGGGTTGATCTTCTCAAACAAGGGCTGTTTGGTGTATTTTGATTATGTATCTATCTATGTTATATAGTTTGTAGACTCTCATATTTTAGAAGTAATTTAAACAGAGTTACCCGGTAGGTGGGGTAACTCTTGGATCACACCCTGCCGCAGTAATTATGTTATCCCTCCAGAGACATCTCCAGTCTAGCAGATAAGTTGACCGAAAATCGAGGGCAGAACAGATGTACAAACTAAAAGTGTGTATCCTCACTGAGAGAACGACTATGGACCCGTCTCTCTACCTTTCGAAAGACGATAACACATACTTAGCGCTGGTGGGATGAGAAGTATAGAAAAAAGAGAGAAACCTATATACCGACCGTTACGGCTCCCGTGTGAACAAAACAGATAGACAGCAGAGTCAAACCCCATAAGAATAAACACACCAACCGTGGAGTGGAAGAAGAAGAACGCCAGACATCACAATATAAATGTACATAGTCAGCACCCCCCAGCTCCACACAAACAATTATGACAATAATACAACAATAACACACAAATACTCAGAAGAGTACAAACAGTCTCAGTATACAGAAATAGAGTACGAGACAAAAAACACAACAGGATACAACTCAACACTAACACAACACACACATAAACTCAGACACAGGACAACATCAAATACAATAGAGTTAGAGATAAGGGTGGGGGTAAGACACAATGAGGAACACTACAGAAGAGTTAACTGATACGAGAGGAGGTTCATCAGCAAGGGAGGATATACAAGAGAAAAGGGGTACAACGAGGGGGAAAAAATGACTAAGTTCGCAGCATCTCCTGTCCACGCTGATCCTCTCACTCTTTTTTTTTCAGTCTCTCCGATACCGGGCATATTCAGAGATGTATCCCCATTATCCTTTCACCGACCTAACCCACACAGGTCACCTATGTTAGAACTTTGTTTCGAGAGCTACCCTTGGCCCTGTTCCCCACAGACCCGCTTATGGACAGTCTCCAGTCGCTGTCCTCGGACTCGGCCACCCTGGCCATGCAGCAGGCAATGCTGGGAGCAGACGACTCCATGGACGGCACCGAGGAGGAGGAGGAGGAAGAGGAGGAGGAAGAGGAGGAAGGAATGGAAGAGGAAGAAGAAGAGGAGGAGGACGGAGATGGAGAGGAGAATGAGAGGGGAAGGCAAATGTCCAGCGGGGGAGGGGGACAGAGAGACCTGCGCATGGAGCACAGAGAGGATTTAGAGTAGTGGTCTAAAGGAAGAGACTTTAATCCATAGTCCTCTCAGACTCATCACAGCCAACATGGACGGCTCTGATGCTGAGTGACTGAGAGAACCATGAGTGTTTTTCCATCAGAGACTCCATGGAGCCTATTCACACTGACCATCACAGCTACAGAGGACTAATATGAGTTTAATGACAAATGTGTGTTGTTCCGTTTTATTATCGTATGTTCTAATGCAGTGAGCCCCTGAAATATTTGGATACACTGAAAAAACTGAAACGTTGACCTTAATGAAATGTATTATGTCAACAGATTTCACATAACTGTATTAGGTTAGTTGAAAGCAATAATATTCATATTATTGCTTTCAACTAACCTAATACAGTTATGTGAAATCGGTTGAAATAACACATTTATTGAAGTTAACCTTTCAGTTTTTTCAGTGTAGAAGCACATTTTAGCTCCTGCTAGTCATGGGCAGAAATGGCGCAGGAACTAAAAGGTTAAAACGATAACTGCCCGTTGGAAATTGAGAGATATGAACTACTTTACAGTAACTGTTTAGAACACAGCCATGACATTTCGGAGGCTGAACTCGGGTTACTGTCCACGGAAACATCTTGAGTAGTTGCACAGTCTTTGCACAGTGAGATCTTTTGACTGCATGTGAAAACAACTCATTGCTATATCTCCAAAATTGCAGCACCATTAGAAGAGTTACAAGAAGATCTGCAGCTTTTTAACTCTTCACTTCATGCGACTGAAAGTACTCTCAATGTTTCACTCTCAGTCAGTAAGTGTGTCTTTTGCTTTCTAAAAATAGAGTGAGGTTCTTAAAGAAAGGAACATTAGAAAAGGTGTAAAGCTGTTTGTGTTTGCTTCCACTGCTGGAACATCGTCACGCCTTCTCATGACTCATCGGTTCTCAGGTCGGCTACACTCACTCGGTGTGTTACTTCGTCACTTGACTCATTGCTGCAGAAAACCTTTTAGAGCATGACTTTTAAATCATTTTTATTGTTTTCACTTTGTTTCTCTTCACCCATGAGCAAAAAAACGAATAAACCAGTGTATGCTGACTGCACATACAGTATAGTATGTATATCAGATGTTTTATGTTTGCATTCTGCTGTTGAATGTTTGCATATTTCTTTTGTATTTCTTTGCATGGCATCAGAGTAGCTGAAGGAACAACAGGACATGTGCTACACTCTTTCTGAATAAGGCCGTTGTATTACTTGGTGACCATGCACATACTGGACTTCAGCCACCAAGTCAGTCTTAGAAATGTGCTTATGTATTTTTATGACCTCGGGTGATTCTGTCACAAAATAAGAGCATGGCAAGCACTGCAGTCAGGACGAAGTGTCTCACCCTCTCCTCAACATGAAGCGGAATCACACAGACCGCCAATGGCCAGTGTCTTTTACTCACAAACTTTTCAAGGCGACAAAGAAGAGAATTTTGAAAAAAATGAGAAAGAGAGAAGAATAACTCAGTAGAAAACGTCTCTTTCAATTTTATGTAAAGGATTTTGAAGAAACTGTGAAAGAGTTCTCTGTTTTGTACTAAAACACACATTGAGTTGCTCGTTTCTAATGTGAAGATGTCTAGAAAAAGAAACTCCATGTTATATTGAATGTTCTGATTGTTCATTGTGAAGTTTGTTGCTCATTAATATTCTTTCTCAGTTGATTTTTTTAATGGATCTTCCACAATCAGTGGCAGACAATAGGGAATATTTCTATTTCATTTGTACACTTGGTTGTCATAATCTATTGTGTTTCAATAGATCAATTTGAATAATTAAAACATGTAAAGGTACTGACTTTGACTTTGTGAAATGAAAGTGTTGCATGTTTTTAGCCTGACTACATCCTGGGAAATAAACTCCCAAACAGGAAGTAATCCGTTTAATTTATGAGAATATTTAGAGATTTAAGCACTATAGTTAAATACTAGATAATTAACAGGGCATTGTTTCCGTAGAGTGAGGCATACGTGTGTGTGTGTGTGTGTGTGTGTGTGTGTGTGTGTGTGTGTGTGTGTGTGTGTGTGTGTGTGTGTGTGTGTGTGTGTGTGTGTGTGTGTGACACTTCCCAACCCTCTCACTCCCTGATACATTGTAACATGTTTCCAGATTATAGAGTTAGTCTAAATATTGGTTTAACTTCCCTCATTTTCCTGTCAAATGTGCAGCCTCCCACCCACTGGTTAAAGCTGCAGCCTGTGATTTAACTTACTGGAAGATGCCCGCCCAAACGCTCTCCAACGACTATAAAAAACTCTCCACCACAGGGTTTGTACTCCTCAATGTGGATTCTGCCTCCTCAGAGTAAATGTAATAACTCTTGTGGGTGTGCAGTGCACAGGCCACATTGTATTTTTTTACAAAGCTGTGTATAATTAATCCTTGTTTTGTTCTTCTTCCCACCTAAAAAAAGGTCATTCTTTCATTGCAGATACACTTATTAAAATATCTGTTATTCTCCTCTGCTACTCCTCTCCTCCTTTAGTGGGAGGAATTTGAATTGCAGTAGCTATGATGGGCTCCAAAATGATATACTGGAAGGTAGCTATCATGTGATGGGCTATTAATCCTTGACATTAGCATGAGGAAGACATACTCAAAGGATCTCAAATATGGGAGGAAATCACCATATTTATAAAGTCATCTAATACAAAATAAAGGTAGTTTGAGAGTATGGGCATTACAAAATGTCTTCTATAATTGTTCCACATGGGACTTATGTACAGCAGGTCAGAGGAGAGCCTGTGAGCCTGTATGAACAGGAAGAACACGAGTCTCCATAGTGCAGCTGGGGTTGGAACTGTTATTTATCATGGGGTAGCATTAGCAGCAGAACCGGTCATACATAATGACTGGAGTATTTGTTATTTATACAGAGTCAGTTTGGTGCTGCAGTGTGGTCCACCTCAGGCAGGCAGGGTTCAGGGTTAAATGAATCCAAAACTGAATAATGCATGGAGGGTAGACTTCAATATTTGAAATATGTTATACACCCTCAGGCTTGGGGAGTAACAGATTACATAATGGGATTGCGTAATCAGGATACAAAAAAAAGGTAACTTATTATTTACTTTCAGTTACATTAAAAAAATATGTAATCAGATTACTGTTACTTTAAAAAAAAAAAGGGGATTACAAGAAGGATTACAATGTTATATATTACATATACATTTTAAGTCACTGTAACTATCTATCTTCGAAATCCTGTTTCATAGTTGACCTTTTTGACCTGTATTTGTCTTCAGACCAACTCACAAGGACAAACAGTGCATGTATTCTGATGATTCTGATCCATAAACTTCCCATTCCTACATTTCTTTTTTGAAGCTGATTAAGGCTGCAATTTGTATAATGTTTCATGAGCATGTGAAAGGGCATTTTTACAATTAGACTGGTGTCATAACAAAATAATGATCACCTCACACGTCTTTACAGAGTATTTTAGAATCTTTTTTCTAACTTCTTTGCCTATGTTTTGAATAGTTTTTATTTAACGAGAAACCCACTGTATACTTCTTCCATGTCCATTCAGAAGTCATACACATCTGATTATACACAGTGGAGCAGTAGGCAACTAAAGAGGCAGATATTCACTGGATAACAAAAACAGACCAAAAGTAAAATGGATGTTTGACTTTCTTATCGGATGGCAACAGAACTCCAAATGAATGACTAATGTTTTGAGTACAAATTCTTCAAATTACTATTCCCCTCTTCAGCTAGGTGGCTGTGACTGTGGCCCTCCCTATCATCACAAAATATAACACAGAAACATATCAAACAGAGGCCATGCAATGAAGGCTTGTTTGTTAGTTTCATTTGTATACCGCATGTTTTCAGATTCAGAAACCCCACAGTTTAGTCAGATTTAATCAAATACAAAGTTATTTTTTCTCTCAAACCCTGCGTTGGATAGAAACATGACTATCCCTGCTGAACAGTCTCTCCGCCTGCAGTCGCTCTGAGGCTGAAGTGCATTAAAAATAGTCTCAGAATGACAGAGGCTGGAAAAGCCGCTGGCCATGGTTCACTTGTTTGAAGAGGGCCACAGTCACCGTGCTTCACAGCCTGAACTGCCTGACCCAGTGTAGAGTACTGGAGGTCTGCTGCAGTGCCATCTGGGCGCCTCCATGCTCCCAGATGTCTTCTCTGTAATTACAGCCAGACTGGGCTCGGCCCGGTCCAGCCCAGATCCAGCCTCTCATTTAGAGAGACCCTCCCTGAATACTTAAGAAGCTTTCCAGCACTGTGCAGGCCCTTAGAGGAGGCATTTTTCTAATAGTTTAACCAAAGAAAGCTGTAAGACGTAAGGTAAGTTGGCTCAGATTTCCATCATATGTTTGCAATGAGAACATTTAATAATGGAATTTAATTTCAACTGGAATTTTCCCAGAATTGGAAAAGTAATCCACTACAGGTTTTGTATTCCTTTAGCTGTATAGGTACCCGTGCTAAGGTAGAGATAAGATAGAGGAAGGCAAGCAGTGGCATGTGACAGAGGTCATGAGTCTGATTTGTTCTTACAGCACACTTTATCTTCTCTGCTAAATGTGTCAACAAAATAAACCTTTTTCTTATCACTGGGCAGGAGCTCAAAATGTCCATCGCCCAGATCGCGGCCAAGGCCATGCTGTCTGACGCCCTGTTGCAGGGCGGCCCCGCGCTGGACCGGCTCAGCCACCTGGAGCTGGAGCTTCCTCTGGACAAGGTCATCAAGTTTGTGTCTGTGGGCCTGCCGCTCATGTTGGTGGGCATGGCCTTCGCCCGTGAGATCTCCCTGGGTGAGCAGCTCTGTCTTTTTGAAACTATGATAATATTTCTGTGTTTCAGTTACACTGTTGTGCAGTTTTTCCTTGAATTCTTGATAAATGACCTGCTAAACTGCATTTTGTTGAACTTGTGATAAGAATTAATAGCATACAAATGTAAAGGTTCAACATTAGCATAGGAGTTTAGACAGAAATGTAATTTTTCATGCACTGAAGAAGTGAACCAAATGTGTTACTATTATAGAGATTAGTTTAAAAACATCTTCCCCGTGTTTTTAGTCCTGCAATCAGATACATCTCCTCATCCATTTAAATTCTTACATGAAGGAACTAAATAAACAGAGCAATAAGAATGAATTATGTAATTACATGGCACTTTACTTAACAACATTAGGGTCCAGTCATACAATTGGAAGAAAACACTTAATCAACACCTATCATAACATTAGTGTATTAACTTCTGACTTCAAGACCTCCTTAGAATAATCAGCAAGATCTAATTTACATGTTGACAAAGGTAATAT